CTTTATTCGTCTGTGTGGTAACTTCAACATTATACTTATTACAACTAAGTAGAAAACCCGAACTGTTTCAAAATTATCATTATTAAACCTTTCGTCTTTCCTCCAGTGTGTCAGTGGTATATCTACGACTTACAACACTAAAATACGAGGTTGAATTCCCCGTGGTGGATAAAGCGTAGATAACCTATTGTTTATCTTGGCGTTAAAACATACAACCGCCATTTTTGTTTTATTTAACTAAACTTACGTTTTCAATTTAACAAGGAAATGATGTTTGTTTGAACGTCAAATTTCACAATGGTTTATCTTTGCTACTTGATTGTTGAATTTCGCGCAAAGATGAACAATGGGTTATTTATCTGCGCTGTTTCGTTGCTGGAATTTGCGCAAAGATACACAAGGCTACCTGCATTAGCTGTTCTTAATTTAGAAGTGATAAACTAGAAGAAAGGCAGCTAGCCAGACACCAACTGTCAACTTTTGGAATAATCTTCTCAGACTGAAAAGAGGGATCTTACTGTCACTCTTATAACACTCCCAGGATCCCAAAATGCAAAGCGCGGTCTTATGTGTTTTGCGCTAAGGTAGAGCGAACCATGTAACCATAGCTCCACTGTTTAACTTTAACACGTTAATATTACGTTGCACTCGGCTCAATAACCAGTTATAGAAGTAAATGAGGCCTAAGGAAGGTTTAGCTATTCCATTAGCAAGGATTTCATATATAGTATCTGTGTTGTTGCCCAAAAAGAAAAACTGTTTGTGTAACATTATAGACAGTCTTAATCTTTTGGAAATTAGAATTTTAATAAGATATGAATGTCGAGATGCTGTTCAAAATCAAAATATCTTTTGTTCATATGTTGATCAGGTTCATCACTGTCAGTGGGACGTTATCAGTGGTTTGTTTTTGTTTGTTTGTTTTTAATTATGCACAAAGCTACACAAGGGCTATCTGTGCTCTGCCCACCACGGGTATCGAAACCCGGTTTCTAGCGTTGTAAGTCCACAGACATACCGCTGTGCCACTGGGGGGCCGTTATCAGTGGACATTCCAAACAGCAATTCGTGAAATAAGTATCAATTTTAGATGTAAAGCCTAAAAATGTTTATATTTTGGCTCTCCATTACTTAAATCATAAATGTTCCTTTCACCTAAAACGTATTTTCTTTATAATTCTCTGTTATTTCAATTTATAAAAATATATTTGTTATGATTATCATTTGCGAAGTTTACAGGAAAGAGAAAAATAAAAAGGCTTCGAAGAGTGGTTAAGTGATAGTCCTTTGGGTCAAGGTTAGGTTAGGTTAGGTTTTGGAACACGTTTTCTGAAAAACTGCCTGATGGGAGAATCTAAAGGAAGTGACAAGTAATACCTGCGTGCAAAAGTCAGGAAAACACAACTACAAATCAAAACTGCACCTCCAATACTCCAGACATCTGGGATTTCTCTGAAGAGTAGCAATTGCCACAAGTAAGCAAAGAAAATGGAACCACTACTTCGAAGAACAGAAACTAGGGTAGCTTGCTCAGATTGAAGTGCCTTTGTGAATAGTAGTTGTCCGATGAAACTAAGAAACCCCAATCCAAGGATAAGCCACTGATTAAGGCCACAAGAGATAAAAGAAAATTCTCCAAACACAAAGTGTACCAACTATACCAACTATGACACCTATCCATCCAAAATTAGACAAAATAACTGAATGATGAACATCTTTAACCTTACGAATAACTATATATACTAAAGAGGCAAATATTGTAGATCCTAAGGCCATAGCAATACCAAAAATACGTTCTTTAGTTGAAACATCGATAGATTCTTCACTTTGTGGAAACTGGAGTGGTAACTTAGTCATTAATG